TATAGTGCGGAAAATACGGGTATGATAAAAAGAAGCATGACCTACCTTATTAAATCAGCAGCCGTTGCATCAGCGCGCTCTTGCAATCCGTGTCCAAAAAAACCAGAGTCTCTTTTTTGATTGCCATCAACATAAAGGCTTCAAGATGCTCCTCCGCTTTGCTCCTTAATCGATTCTTGATGAATTTTAGCGTGGAAAAGCTTCGTTCACATGCAACTTGTGTCACAGACAGAGTTAACAGAAACTTGTATCCAAGTCCGATTAGATGGTAGGAGTCCGTGAGCAGATTATACCTTTGTAGGACATAACAACAGATGGGACACTTTCTGCAAGATTGGCAGGTTTTGTTCACAAGATCCCATTCTTCATCTGGACTCTGCTCATCATCTCCATCCTCAGTACTCATCTTGGCCAGATACTCTTCACGCACAGACACCTTCAGCTTGTCCCAGTGCGTAGCCAGGCTAAGTAGTTCACCCTGTAAGGCTTCAGGAGTTGCTCTGCTATCGCCTGCAGGTACACCGTTACATTTCAAGTCATTGAAATTCTGGGGATCAAGCAGGGCGAAATCTGTATTGAGTTCTCTGTTTTTAGCAAAACGTCGAGAAATACTTTCAATGATGGTATCCAGAATGACATTGTGCACTTGATTAATTCAAATTGATTAATTCAGGTGTTTCTGAGCTCAGTAGTCATGGCAACAATAATCAGACACACCTGAATTCATCAATTTGGCCAATAATTGCAGACAGGAAACAGGAGCTGCTTAAGTTCAGGAGGTAGTGCAGCTGTGCATAAAGTGTTCGAAACGCGATACGCTGGTGACCCCTGCTGGTCAGAACTGTGTAAATGCAACAAAAAAATAACATGCTCAAAAACACCTTTTACAAAAAAACAATTGCAAATGTTTTATTAAAGATGACACGAATTTATTTCTAAAAACAAAAGGCACATTTCCACAGCGTTATATTCAATCAGTCAAATCTCAAAGGCACAAGTGTTGTATTGAACACTAATAGATGTGAAATTGATGACCAACCAGCTCGCTTAAGTGATAATATAGCCTACATGTTAAATCAGAAGTCAAATATTTGGGCATCACGGTCACCAGAAATATAGAAATAAGGGAAACAGAAAACATTCTTAAAAATATTGATAAGTGTAAGTAATAGGCTATTGAATTCATGGCTGCAAAGGGATATAACAATTTTGGTAGGGTTCTATCCAAGATGGAGATCACATCGGGTTACACTTGAAGAAAATCATCTACACAATTATTTAATGACCGACAATTTAGTTGTAATAATAATGTTGGCATGATGCTTATTAGTGTTAGGCTATAGCTTTAAAGATTTAGCCAGTGCACTGTTACAACAGTAACATTTTTTTTTCTACAATGACATTTGAGTTCATGATTTTAAGGGTTTACCAAAATCCTGACATATTGAACCAGTTTTTCACCAAACTCTTATGTCTTTCATAAACACTAGATGTCACTGTTGTACACGAAATCAATTTCCCGACACGACTGTGGCAAATTTTGAGTAATAAAATGTTACACAAGTTTATTTACAAAAATATAGATTTCTTGAAGTTTCTCCATGTTTTGAGGCATTTAAAAATAATTATAGAATTTTATTTCAATCCTTCAAACTCTCTAAAATACTAGGAACTTGCATGAATAAACCCCTGAAGTGTATTTTAATTTGTTTTATAATTTGCGTTACACTTACATATTTTGGTTTTATTTTAATTTGTATTTATTTAATGTATTATTTTTCTTTTGTTTGTTTTTCCCAAATATGTTGCTTGCTCCTTTTGTTGATGTGTTTAACAATTATATGATAATGCCAGTTTTTGTATTTAAAATATTTCTATATTATTTTATTTAGTTTTCTCTAATTCAGTTTTTATTAATTATTTTATCATCATTCTGATAGACGACATTGCACAAATAAGAACTATTCTAGCACAACAGAGGAGTAAACAAAAAACTTTATAATAACAATAAGTGAATTATACTAAGTTACTTCTGAATTCTGTGTTTTTTCCTTTAATTTTCCACCTAGCTCCTGACTACTGCAAAATATAATAATATTTAATAAAAGTATTACATATGTATAATGCCTGATGTAATCTGAGAACTGTTTGTTTGATACCTTTGACTCAAGATGCCCTGCAAACAGCTTGAATTGATGTTGTGCTTCCGTTTCAGCAACATACCTGCTAACAGTGCCGGCGCTATGGGGGGGCATTAGGGGGCAATGCCCCCCCAAATGTATTTTGTGCCCCCCCAAATTGAATTATGATATAATTTACAAAATAATATCAGTTTAATTTAATTCACATTTCAGTGAGAAATAGTACAAATATATGTCTACAAACGGCTCATTAGCTGAAAATACAATAAAGCCAACATAAAAACCAGTGTGACGCTGTGAGGAAACCCCCCTGCCGCCCCCCCAATCACGCACGTTAATACTTGAATGAAATGATTTTCAGTTGGCGCGACCGCGCAAGCTTCCTGCATTCAAAACAAAGCAAACAGATGAAAACTCTCCAAAAATGGAAATTAGAAAATGGTTCAATACCACAGTTTCTCCTTACACATCGATTACCCCATACAGCAAGACAACGACAGCCCGGCTTTGGTATTTGGTGCTTCTACCGTGCAGTGTTGTAGTCGAGACCGAGACCAAAGACAGTCGAGTCCGAGTCGTAAGTGTAGCTTTTTATCTAACTGGCATGTACTGTAATGTTCACTATGTGTTGTCACGTGATAAAACTAATAGTTTAGTTGGCCTAGTTTTTGCGCTGCCCGTTGTCCTGAAATGTCACTCACTCCCGCCGTGGAGAAACAGGTGTTTAAGCCTATATTTTTCTTGTAAATGGAAATTGTAGAATAATATGTTGTGGGTGTTTTTATTTGTTAAAGGTGTTAAAGGTTTTATTTGATAAAGGTAACTACATGATGCTTTTTTAAGGCTACGAATGTAAATGCTTATGTTAGAACATAGCCAAATAAAGATGAGTAACTTAGCTTTTTTTTTCTCACTTCCGCCATTGAGATAGCATATAAACGGCTATTCTGTCAGTGAGAGACTATGTACATGTTCGTTAGCTTTGCTATTATGAAGCTGTGGTCAGAGTCGGTCTTGCAATTTTTTTTTTTGTATAGGCCTATTTAACCCTTGATCAAATTTCTTAAGAGTCGCTCGTCTTGCAACAATGTGTAATGTTTTATGTGTTTATTGTGTGGGTTGCATTACTTCATGTTAATAGCTAACAGAAAAGGCAGTAGCAACAATAAATATAAGATATCTAATATCGGAAAAAAAGTCCCCATACCTACCTAGTGCCCACCCATTGAAAATAAATGCCCCCCTGCTAAAAGCGGTCTGAAGCCGGCTCTGCCTGCTAATAGACATTTGATAGAGTGTTCAACCATGTCTCTACAATGAACAACCTCATGGACATTAACCAGCCTGGTTTCAAAAGTGCACATGATTGCAAAGGAATTTTTGGATTCTCAATTGCAATATTCTGTGATAATGCAACAAAAGTGCTACATACCAGCACTTCACACTTGTGCAGAGTAGAGCCATTGACATTCATTGTGTCTGAGTTCAGTATAGAAGTGCAAATTACCTTGATAATCACTGTTAATAGCTCTACATTTATAAGACTAGTGAGGTTTTCACAGATAAGACCTCAAAGAATGGGCTTCTAGCAGTTGTTGCCGTGTCAGAAACGCCCAGTAAAAGGAGTGAAAACTGAAACTGATTCTAAGGGGGGAAAGATTATATACAGAAAAAGTGCTCTTTAAAATGAAGTATGTTTCATCTGACCTTTACCGAGCAATGAATACATTAAAAAATATTTTGACCTAAATTTAAGATTTATGCATTTGAATTGCGTATGAATGTCAATTCATTTGAATTACACAATTCTAACGTAAACAATATAATATTATGTAATGTGATGCATGCAGTCATGCTTGTTATATGCAATTCAAATATCTAAATCTTATGGCCCTTTTTGAATGAAGGCTCAAAAGAGCATGGGAACTATATAAGATACACAATGCACATTGACACAATGCAATAAAACTTTTTTTAAAACTAAAAAAAAAAAACTAAAAAAACTAAAAAACTAAACCAATGACAATCCTCTCCATCTTAAACCAACCATCATTGGAGTGACTGTAAAAGTGTGTGCTTTCCTTCAGCACTATTGCCAAGAACAGCCAAAGAAAGAGTGTGTGAGCGAGAGCCTCCATAGCAACCGTTTCCCCTGCTGGCCAAGTTGCCTTGTGACGCTGAGTCAGACTGGGTTAGTGTTGTCTGCGCTCACTTTCGTAGGACATGAGTGACCGGCCAGGCTTGTGCTTTCCCATTTGCCATGCTGTTCTAATAGATGTTGTGGTATAGGACAACATTGTCAAATAACTACCTGTAACCTGACAAATATTCAAATGTATTATTAAGTAAGCCCCTGAAAGGGTTATTTTGTTAACTAATTAGCTAAATTAGGCTACATTTAGGATTTCCGTCAGATACATTTGAACGTGTTTGATAAATATATTAATGTTGAAGATCTACAGAATAAAGGAATAATTATCAGCATATATTTTTTAATTCCTGTTTGAAAAAAATCAATAATATTATCCTGTTGTGGATAATATTATTACTGTTGTGGATAATATTAATATTATCCATTATCCTGCTGTGTAAGCAGGATAATGTAGTCAACAATTTATTGCAAAATAAAATAAGCAGTGTGATCACAGTCCAGCATTCGCTGTTGCTTTAGATTTAAGTTTTTTTTTCAATGTTCGCCTTTGTTGGAACCTTAAAATGATGCTCTGAATATTCCATAAATTATTTCATTTTCAATTCAGCTATTTTTGAAATCAGTCAGAATAATTAGTCACAGAACGAGTTTCCCATTTTATCTACTGTGATGTTTCGAGGGGGAGGGGAGTCAGATGAAACTGCACATGCGCAGAGAGGATTACATTCAAGGGAGATGAAAGCTATTGATTACGTGGTTTTCTCGTGCTCCTTATAAACTTTTTTCCCCTATACGTTTGCTTAACTGAGTTCTAGTATTCAGAGCATTTGGAAGGAATCTAAAGGAATCGGATTACATTTTCCAAGAAGATAATCTCGGTGAAAAATAATCAGGTTTAATTTTTTGCGATGGCGCGGTGGTTTTTGAGACACGTGATCTGCTCCATCCAATCATGGCGCAGCAATGATAGCCATATCTTCTTTGTTCTGGATTTATCAACGTTGCTGACTAATTACTCGTTTACATTTTATGGATTTTTTAATATCATGTTTTTAATCGCTAGGGAATGCTCTTTGTATGCAATGTATTTAAAAGGAAGACGTGTTTTATGGAGTTCCTGTTCAAAACTAGTTTTAAGCCACGCGAGTAGTTGTGTGGGTGATCACATGACCCTCCCTGCCCCCACTTCGATCCAATGAATGGGGAAGAAGAAGTCGGACATGTTTGAGGGAAATGTGTTGAATAAAGAAACGTGGCTGAAGACAAGAAGAAAATCAGGATTTTTCCAACAATGAGGATTTCGACATATATTTTTTCCTTTTTGTTTTAGGTTCACTTAATCTGGATAGAGGTATATGTTAAGATATTTGGATTTATTTCCAAATTTAGTTGTTTTAAAAGATTAATAATTTAATTAAGCGTTTTAATGTAAATAATGTATAGATAACTAATAATTTGGCCTGTTTGGTGTTGTACTTTTGTTTCCCCACAATGTATGACATTGTTTCAAATCTGTAACCTTGGCAGTGGGGGATGGGCGGCAGGACATTTTTCTAAAAATTTGTTCTAAACTCTTAATTTGAAGATCAGTTTAAAATAATGGTTCTTTTGCCAGAACATTTACATTTAGGCGTCTAACAATTGATAATGGCTTCTTAAAAGAGAATATTTAAAGAAGTGTAGTTTAGTGTCCTCTAAATGGTAATTCGGCTGATTTAAAAATCTCGACAATATTATTAAATTATGATTTGCTTTGATCAAAACGGCTTGAAAATATGAGGCGAATCAAACGGATTTTAATATTTATTGATGGTTTTGGCTGTGGTAGTAGGATGAGCTCGACGTCGGCCTAAACGCAATTGTTATTTTTCCAGGATTGTGTTAAACCCTCGACGTAATTTCTAACATTTAGGTCATTTCTGTCTAATTTGGTGTGTTTTGTATATATTTTGGTCCTTTAGTAGTGTGTTAACCACTGCGGGTCGTCGTTCGAAGGACTAAAGTTGCTGCGTCATTTATGGAGGACACTCCTTGTAGGCCATGTTGAATCGACAGAGAAGGACATCGCCTTGTCAGCTTTAGTATGGGTTTGAGGTCGATATATGTTTTTTTTTTTTACATTGCGTTAATGTGACGATTAAAACATGATTGTATAATGTTGTTTTAAGCGTTCAATTCGCTGTTTTTTTCCCCCTCTTTTTATTTTCGAGACGAAGCACTATCACGTGGTTGCCTTTAGACGTTTATGTAGTTTTTATGTAGTGTTTTGTTGTTTTTTCCCCACAGGCAGTCGATGAGCAACAGTACAAGGCGAGGTGATCTGTACCGTACGTGTATGTGCCGCATTTGTCTGTTACGCGTGACTAATCTGGTGAACCAATGGCGTATTTCCAACCAGCCCCGGGTAAACGCGCCTTAGTTTTGTAGGACCTATCAGCGAGGTCTGTTGACGTAACACTCAACTCTTCAGAAACGCAGTATTTCTGGAAATGGTAGCGCAACCTTAAGTGTTGTAAACTATTCACTTAAATGTTTCACTGTGTGTTGGTTATAGTAGCGGTGTTGCTTAGACAAGTGTTTTATTTGCGAAATATGATTTAAATCCACAAATCGTGCTCCGGGGGATGCGCGGGCGTGGCCCATTTGACAGACAGGTTGAGTGGCCTATAGAATACGCGTAGGCGTATACGAATGGCGTTACATCAGCCAATGGAGCCGTCGACGGGTTTATAAAAAGTCGGGCGGAGCCTCAGCCTCGCCATTTCATTGTAGCGCTGCGCTGGAGGATAGAGGAAGTCAGAAAAACAAGGCCGCGAAACTCGGATATTCGAACGAAACCGGTTCATAAACCGAATCCGGATCCATCCCGATGGAGACGGCCTTTAGCCCGCCCTTTGACAGGTACCGGTTGGAGTAAATGACATTGCACTTGTTCTGTGAACGAAACTGTTGTTTGGATTATTGTCATAATTCGGCATCTTTAGGAATTATTTTATTTTAATCACTTGCGTCCTGTCGCAATATACCGGAATAATACAACTGCATCGACTTGCACTTTCTAAAGGCAGTGGTGTTGCAGATACTTTTATTTTTTTTACAACGTCAGTTCGCCGCTAGTCCTGAAGTTTTAAAGTCTGTTTTTTAACGGACAGCTGCTGACGTTTGGTGCGCATGCGCGCTTTCGTTCAATGAGACGAGTAAGTTAGTTTGTTTATTGGCAAATTTGTCTGTGTTCCGACTACCAAAATTGAGTAATTCAACTGCATTTTCATATGTGAGATTGATTGAATTGTGTTAACTGACCATATGTCGTTAACATTCAGTGTTAGGATGCGAACGTGAAATTAGCATGGTATGCTAATGCTAACAGCGTCTGTTATATTTTTATTGGCCATAAAGGTTGTAGACACGCTACAAAAATATTATAAATGTGTTTTGGATTATTATTACATCTCGGAAGTGTGTTAAATATCCACTGCTTTTATTATGATGCATTGGTCCTTGCTTTCGCGAGTGCGATGAACATGTGGCTGTGAATCGGTAACATTAACGTTAACTTACATGAAATGCTGTCTGGCTTAATGGAAATGCTTTTTATAATCGATATGGTTTTTCAATTGGATATATTTCTGTTATGTATTGATGTAAGTTAACGTTAGGTCATAAGGCGGTGCCTTGACTAGAAAAAAAAATATTTTATTACTTTTGTAAGTTATTTTATTACTTTTGTAAGTTGTTTTGCTGCATCTTATGGTAGTTTGAATGTTTTAGATTACTTTGAGGATCGTATGTTAACAACTTTACGTTTTTTTTTTCTCTCTTCACGTTTTAGTCATTCTGAAACTCATCTTAAAAAGTTGAGCTTCCGCCTCACACCACGTGGACTTTTGTCAACATTTTACACGCGTAAAGGCTGCAGTTCTGTTCAAACCTATCTGATCACCCCATGCCTTCTTTTGGTGGCGAGTGTCATTGATTTGTGAAATCTAATGGCACAGCACTGAATTTATGGAATTGTTTCGCTTTTTGTTGCTTAGCAACGCGCGTTAAACGAGACGCTTGAATCCCGCCATCTGCCCCTCCCAACCAGCATGCTGTTATATGGGACAGAATAATTAGACATCCTTTGTTTTTGTTTTTCCAAACATTGTTTGTAAGCCAACATTTCACTTGACTGAAAATAAAACGCTTTTAATGTCAACTGTTTGTGATTTTTGTATCATTTAGCAGTGTTTATATTGTACATTAAAACATAAAATTATTCAATTTAAAGTTGTTTAATGTTTTATCAGCATGACTAAATATTTATAAAGTTAAAAATGTTTTTAACTATTGTGTGGTAGATTTATTCAAATGTCATTTAGAAGCAGCATGTTTGCTTTCTGTTTTATTTAGTTCATTAAACTTCACTTGAGTGTCCATACTGGGACAAGAATGTAAAACTTCACTTACAGATCCTGGCTGGAAGGCATGAGAACTACATTCTGCAGATACAGTTGCACACCCACCATAACTGTATATTTTTTTTTAAGTTTAGTTTAATATTAATATCACGTTACAGCTGCAACGTTGTTACAAATATTGCCTATATTAGTCCCAAATAAATTAATCCAATGGCACTTGTGATAAATGTTTGGGTGCTGTCAACTTGCCTATTTTAAAGTGTTGAACAGGTCTCAGAAGGTAAGTCTCTCGGAGGAAGTGAAATTATACTGTCAGGTTACATAAAGCACATTTATATAAACTAGTGAGGGTAGTGGAGTTTTACATTAACAATTTGTGGATTATCAATGGCATTTAAATATGCCCACGGGGAATACATTCCTGTATACATGAGCTCATGATAATTCATATTCGATTCTGTTTTTTTTTTTAAACTTGCTTGGCCTCCACACTCGTAATGTCAGCATTCATGTATGGATGCTCATTTTATAAAATTAATAAAGCACAAAATCTAAAATAAATATGTTAATACAGTTGTGGGCTAGTTGTCCTCGTTTGGCAGATAATTGTTATATTTACTTGCCGTTTAATAAAACATTGTGAATTTATTGTTATATTAGACCAACTGGAATAATTGATTTGAGCTTTAAACTATTTGTTTTGAAAGCTGCATTCGCATTGGCTACTCCTCAGATAAAAACAAATACGACCTGATCTGCGTTAAGTCTATGTAAGGTCACGCCACCACTTTCGAGTTGGACTGTGGCGTATCGGTTTGGAATGAGTCGTCGCATAACTCACTCATGCCCTGACACATGAACTGCTGGAAGGGGCAATTGTGTTTTCATGCTCTGAGCACATAAGAAAAACAGATGATTAGTCAAGCATTCGAGTCATGATGAGTGTACTGTGATTATGCTGACTCTTCATATTTCATTTAATTAAATCACTCAGTTGTCTGTCGTTCTGTCTCTATAGCTAAAATCTGTCTGGGTACAAAACAATAATCCATTATTTTATATTATATAATATTTGATTTTCTCTATTGACTGGTTTCACAGATGAGACTTAAGCCTAGTCCCAGACCAAAATGCATGTTTGACTTGTCTTAGCTAAAAGCAAATTGCACTAACATAGCTTAAAATAGTAGTAGTAAGTTATTTAAAATTCCAAATTTTTAAAAAAGGCCTACTCTTGTCTTAATCTAAGCCCTGTCTGAAACCAAGCTGAAATGTTCTCTACTGGCTCTTCTCACATGACTCACCCTCATGTTCCTGTTCTCCACAGCTCTTTGGGCGGGGGCGACGGCATGCAGGGGGTCATAATGATGGATCAGACCATCTCCGGACCCGGCAAGCGCATCCGCAAGCCGTCGCTGCTGTATGAAGGGTTTGAAGGACCTGCTCTGCCCCAGGTACCCCAATCCGGACCCCCTCAACCTCCTGTACGGGACCCTAATCGACAGGGCCGCATGACTAACCAACTGCAGTTCCTCCAGAAGGCTTTACAGAAGACCTTGTGGAGGCATCACTTCGCCTGGCCTTTCCATGAGCCAGTGGACGCTTCCAAGCTCAACCTCCCTGTAAGTTTGTTCTTGTTCCAGATTGGACTGTTTGGGGATGTTTCTCCCTAGCCTAGGACGTGTTATTTAGTTCTGAGTTTAAATATTTAACAAGATGGCAAGTAATGAGTCTAAACACAAGCTTTGGCTCATCTCTTCTCTCACGCAGGATTATTATAACATCATTAAGCAGCCCATGGACATGGGGACCATCAAGAAAAGACTAGAGAACAATTATTACCGCAGTGCCAGCGAGTGCATGCAGGATTTCAACACCATGTTCACCAACTGCTACATCTATAATAAGGTCAGTCAGTTCATTTATGTTTTGTTAAAACCTTCTTTTAGTGCTCAACCTTGTTTTTTTTCAGGGCTTGAAGTAATCATGTGGCTCAGGTCCTCAGTCTGTTATGGTGAATCAGAGACTGCCATGTGATCTAAAAGTCTTCTGTTTATCATAGCCAACAGATGACATCGTCCTGATGGCCCAGTCTCTGGAGAAGGCTTTCCTGCAGAAGGTTGCACAGATGCCCCAAGAGGAAGAAGAGATTCCCTCACCTGTCCCGCGGGTCAAACCGGGCAAAATTAAAAAAGGCCAGAGATCAAGTAAGAACAAGCTGAGAAAATATAGGATGACCCTGAATAAACTGAGCTGATGGGATTGTGTGGCTAAATCTTTATATCTACCTGGATGTGTGTCTGTTTGTGTATGTATAAATATATACAGTATATATATATATATATATATATATATACATATATATATATGAAGAGTTCAGATGCAAAAGCCTCTAAATGCCATTTGAAATTTTCTTCTTTAATGATGATTTTTATCAAACTTGTATATTTAAGTTCAGTAATTTCACTTAAATAACAATTAATAGGTAATTATCATTGCCATTTAAATGAAATCACTGAACTTAAATATACAAGCTTGATAAAAATGATCATTCTAGAAGAAAATTTCAAATGGCACTTAGAGGCTTTTGCATCTGAACTCTTCATATATATATATATATATATATATATATATATGCTCAGTTCTACAATATTTATTTAAATAGAAACTTTTTTTTTTTTTAATAATCAATTAGGATTGTAAAAACTACAAATGTTTTGTTTGAAAATCAATTGGTCCTGGTGTTTATTGGCTGTTTGTCTGCCTTGTTGCTTATGCATCTTTTCCCCATCTCACTTTTAGTTTCAGGTGGATTCACGACAGCTCATCAGGTCCCAGCTATATCTTCTGTATCCCAGTCGTCCTACTCCCCTCCCACTCCAGACACCCCCGACTCGCTCCTGTCCACCCCACCGCAGATGCTTATAACCAAGACTTTGCTTCCCACTTCACATAGCACCCCTGCACTACTAAACCTGCCACCTACTCAACCTACTGCAAAGGTAAGAACCACTTATTTCTAAAACAAACTGGTTTCTACGCTATTAGTTTTCAGATGCAGCATAAGCTAGTTGGAATACAAAAATGCTTGTTTGCATATTAGATGCAATTTAGCTAATCTTTCTTTCTCCATCTTTTCAATAGAAAAAGGGCGTCAAGCGCAAGGCAGACACGACCACCCCTACCACCACAGGCATGCCCCTCACTATGGGTATAGGTGGCATGGGTCTCGGCTTGGGCGGCGGTGACTCCCCGCTTACCATCTCTGCTTTCAGTGCAGACCCCAAACAGAGCCTGTCCCTTGGCCTGAACCTGGGTCTTGGCGGAGGCCTGGTTGGAGACAAAGTTCCGGCAAGACGAGGTGGTAGTGGCAGGCCCATCAAGCCACCACGGAAAGACTTGCCCGACTCCCAAAACCAACACCAGCCAGTGCGGCGTGTGAGGCTGACACAGCAGTTACGCTACTGCAGCACCATTCTCAAGGAGCTGCTGTCGAAGAAGCACACAGCCTACGCCTGGCCCTTCTACAAGCCGGTGGATGTTTCCTTACTGGGACTGCACGACTATCACGATATTATCAAGTGTCCCATGGATCTGAGCACTATAAAGGTGCGCGTTGAAGAGTTTTAGATACGAAACCATTTAAAAATGCCATCATGTGCACAATCAGATCTTCATGTATTTCTCAATCTTGCAGAGGAAAATGGATCATCGGGAGTACCGGGATGCATTGCAGTTTGCTGCTGACATCAGGCTAATGTTTTCAAATTGTTACAAGTACAATCCCCCAGATCATGATGTGGTGTCCATGGCCCGAAAATTACAGGTACGGACGCTTCACGAGCATGTTTATTTTGCTGAAAAATTATAATTGTGATTATTTATTACGATTGTTCTCATTTCATCAGAATTAGTCCTCATACTCAGGATATTGTTTCCTGATTTATTATACTTGTCAAATATATTAACACACCCTCTACATTATTAAAACTGATAAAACCGTAAGAAACTTATGTCAAAAGCTAAAATTCCAAAATAATTTTTTTTTCAATTAAAACAACAAAAAACACTTTGTATTGTAGCTCAGAGGTTGCATAAGTGCATTTATTCGGCAATCGCAAACATTACAGTTTATTTATTACAGTTCATCACTGAGATGGATTTACTCTTGACGTGTTAACCCCAAGAATGAAAGTTAGTGGGAGGCCAATGCAAGATAAAAAATGTCAAAATAAAATTTTTTGTTGAGATTAATAACCAGTCGGCCAATATTGACGATTATGCTTGCTTTTTCAAGCAAAGCTGAAGTTGTGATAACGATTTAAGTACCATTAATCATCCAGCCCAACTTTTTTCCCCTTTCTTTACACTAAAAGTAAGCATGTCCAAAGTTGGATATTAAAATGGTCATCTCTCTGTTTCAGGATGTCTTTGAGTTCCGCTTCGCCAAGATGCCTGACGAGCCCCTGGATTCCCTCCCACCTGCGTCCCTGGGCGGCGGCCTGGGCGGTCACTCCTCCTCTTCCTCCTCCTCTTCCTCCTCGTCGTCAGAGAGTGACGTGAGCAGTGAGAGTGAGAGCGAGAGCAGCCCGAGCTCTGACAGTGAGGAGGAGAGAGCGCATCGCCTGGCCCAGCTTCAGGAACAGGTGTGTACACAGGTAGCGACTGAACTTTTCCAACAAAGTTCGCTAAACCGGCACTGACAGATTTGACGTATTTGTACGTTTACTGAGAGCTGCAGTGGCCGTGGGTTTAGACACACAGTGACACTCATTCACTCGCTTGTCTGCAGTTGAGGGCGGTGCACGAGCAGCTGGCCGCGCTGTCCTCTACGCCTATCGTCAAGCCCAAGAAGAAGAAAGAAAAGAAAGACAAGAAGAAGAAGAAGAAGCCGGAAAAACACAAGCGGGCCAGGAGCATGATTGAGGATGACGTAGTCATTCGGCCGCCGAAAACACCAAAACTGTCCAAGACACCAAAGAGCAAGAGCAACAGCAAAGCAGCGACCTCCACTCAGGGCAAGAAGGGCTCCAGTAAGAAGAGCAACAAGAGCAAGTACGTCTCCACTGGTCTACACAGTTGCTCATTCATAAATCAGCAACATAAACAAACCTATCTTATTCTTTTCTCATGTTTCCCTTAGATCTTCAAAGAAATCTCAAGCCGCATTGTTTAACTCCCTACCCATGGGCCACGGTGGTCTTACGCCACACTACGACTCTGAGGAAGAGGAGGAAACCAGCCCCATGAGCTACGACGAGAAGCGCCAGCTCAGTCTGGACATCAACAGGCTGCCGGGCGAGAAACTGGGCCGCGTGGTCCACATCATCCAATCACGAGAGCCCTCGCTACGGGACACCAACCCAGAGGAGATCGAGATCGACTTTGAGACGCTCAAACCGTCCACGCTACGGGAACTCGAGCGCTACGTCATGATGTGTTTACGAAAGAAACCACGGAAACCTTATGGTAAGAGGACATTTAATTTAAATTCATAGATGCCATTTACGTCACTCCAAAATAGAATGCCGCCATATTTACGACCGATCTCGCCCGGTACAGCCGCCCAAACTAGCCATTTGAATGAGACACAAAGATACCAGGAGAAAATTTCAATTTTAGCCTCCGATCCTTATTTGTTACGCCCAGTTTTCTTTTATCCATTATTACGTCCCCCAGACCTGCCCTAATAGGCTCCCCATAGGCTACAGCGGGGATCGCTTGAAGGCCGATATGCTGTGGCTGGATGAGTAAAAGATGTAAAAGTGCGGCACCTGGCCACCAAGGATTTATTTTTAATCATGGGAAATGTAATGGGTATAAAAAAATTCAAATGTATGATTTTGGTGGTTGTTTGCTCTGACTAGGTAGCGTTGTTAGCTAGTTAAATGGCTAACAGCTAGTAGCTTGCCAGCTCACAGCTCCCGGCTAGCTGTAATTAATTTGGATTAGACCTGTCGCGATAGACAATAAATAATTTAATCGCACAAAAAAAAATGAGCTCGATAATTTTTCCGGCCGCGATAATTTCCATTTGCATGCTTGTTTGTTTTCCTTGTTTCTCTCTATCTCTACCAAAGAGACTGGATGACAACTAAAGACATAACCGACTTATTTTACGTGAATACTCTCCAAAACGTTTAAACAAAGTTGTTTGTATCCATTCAAACACGAAACCGAGCTCAATACATCACTCGACGCGGTATAGGGGAATACGGCTGCACACTTCGGCTCGGATGAGACATGATACAATATGATACATGCAGCTCTTCTCTTTGAATGACAGCTAACCATTTGTTTCTTCTATCCTTTTATTTTGGTATATAATAAAATTCCAATTCGGGGTTCCTCTTTCGGCTGTTTGTGCAGCCAACTGCACAACATATTGCAGGCATTCACCGTCAGTCGTAATTAAAGATGGCGGCGCAAAGCTACAGTGACGTCATGTCACCCGAACGAATAGGATTTATGTAGTGTAGTTGGTTTGTAAGAAATGATATGAATGTTTGTTCTTGAGAAGCTAATGGGAAACTGAAGCTAGACTTTAACCCATAATGCTTTGTGTAGCCCCACCTTGCCTGGTTTTATTCAGTACACTCCACAGGTAGAGTCGTCTGCTCTTTACCCTTCTGTGAACAAACACAAAGCTGTTCTTTCATTCCTCCACTGATGTGGAGTCATCCTCTCATGTGACTCTTGTGTCAATATAGGTGCAATGTTGAATAATTACTTGGCATGAGGAAAAAAGAAAGAAAAATACACTACCGTTCAAACATGAATGTGCTTATGCTCACCAAGGTTGCATTTATTTGATCAAAAATATGATGAATATTAATGTTTTAAAATGTAATTTATTCCTGTGATGCAAAGTTTAATTTTCAGCATCATAACTCCAGTCACATGATCCTTTAGATATAATTTTAATATGCCGGTTTGCTGCTCTAGTAACATTTATTATTATTATTATTATCAATGTTGAAACTAGTTGGGCTGCTGAATATTTTCGTGGATACTGTGATTTGTTTCAGAAATTTTGTGGAAACGAAATAGAAAACTCAAAATATCTTTGTCTTTGCGGAATAAAATTATTAATTATACACTACAGATTTTTATTTACTAAGTTAATATTGACTCTTTTCTAGATGCAGTATATGCATATGCAGCCTTTTTATATTTTATTTTTTAATTTATAATTTATATAACTTAATGGTAGCAAATTATATATGGACAGAAATGGGGGAATGATGCATTTGGCAGATGCTTTTAGTCAAAGCAACTGTACTCAAGCAATACAGCTGATCAGTTCATGCACTCCCTTGGAATCAAACCCACTGCAAATGAACATTGACAGTTAGTAGATTTTGTTCACTGGAGTGAACTAACATTTGTGTGAACAAAATCACACAGATTATGATTCTCTCAAAAAGACAGCCAATTAAGTGGTTTAGCTGATGTATTTCCGTGTATGACTAATAAATATCCACCTAAATAAAAATGGAAATGTTAGGTTTTTTTTAGATGTTATTTCCCTACTCTCATTTAATTTTATTGTATCTTTGATTTGAAAATGTTAGCCTCTTGTCCAGGTAGAGACTCCCTTGTCTGATTATGTCATATATAACATGCAGCTTTTCTAGATAAAAATACTATATAATTGACTTAATATTCTGCAATACTGTTGATTTGACATCACTGACACCATCGGATGACATCTGAATTGAGCTGGATGATGACGTCACTGTTTTCTCCAGAGCTGCTTTATAGATATATTTAACTCATTCCATAATTGATTAACTTCAGTCATTGAACCAAACTGAATCAACACTGAACTGATTTCAACTGAACAATGACACTATTGTCTTTCTAGAGCGCCTTCATTCATTGATTATCATTTGCCTGTTTATCACTGTAAAGCTGCTTCAAAACAATCTATTGTATAAATGTGCTGTAAATTAAGGTGACTTGACTTAAATATATTAGAAGTTGCATGGGAGGTTTGACCAAATGTGTTGTGTGTTTTCCAGTGGCAGTCAAAGGTGCTGCGGGGAAATCTCGTGAGGAGTTGACTCTGGAGAAGAAGAGAGAACTGGAGAAAAGACTGCAGGACGTCAGCGGCCAGCTTAACTCCGGCAAGAAACCACAGAAAACCAAAGGTAGGGACTGAGTTTCTCACTGATGTACAATCAGAATCAGGTTAAGACAGATTAAATGAAACGATCTCTCCCTCTTTCTCTTTCAGTGGAGAAGCCCACTGCGGTGGAACCCAACGCCATGGCGTCTCGTCTCAGCGCCAGCAGTTCCAGCTCAGACTCCTCCTCATCGTCATCCTCTTCTTCGTCCTCTGACACCAGTGAATCGGACTCAGACTGAGCCAATCAAAAGGAACAGACATGCACTCCATCCCAGAATAGAATAGATCTCCTGCTCTAAATAACAATAACTAGTCGAATATGAATAAGGAAGAGCAGGCTTTCTCTTTAGATGTGAGGTCAAAGAGAATTCTGGGAAACGTTGGACGGAGAAGGAACTGATGGAAAAGCAGGCATGGGCATCGTCGTCTAATTTGGGACTCGTTTCCGTTAGTCCATCCTTCTTTACCTTGTGTATATAAATGTACAAAGATATATAAATATCTATTTTTCTTTTATAAAGAAGAATTTTAAGCAATTCCCTGGTAGGGAAGAAAACAAACATCTGACTTTTTCTTTTGTGAATATTTTGTTGCTTTGTATTTTTTTCTCTCCCTCTTGTTTGATCTATTAGTTGTCTGTCCTAAAGAAAACAAAAGGCTTGGATTGGAAACTTGTCACTTTTGTTTGCATGAGCGAGTGTGTGATGTGTGTACTCGTGCCATTGAATCCAGTGGTTTTCCCGCCCACCCTTGCACATACATGAATGCGTGGCCGCTTGGTTGTGCATTTGAATGAAAAAACAAAGCTCCACCTATTCAAATGGCATCTGTACACCCTGAAGTGAGAACATGGAATCACGTCATCCGTCTCTGTTCGTTGGCTTTAGTGGCGTCTTAAAACTTGAATCTGATCTTACTTCCATCCAGCCTGCTTCAAATCTGCATTAAAGAAACAGAATCGTGCTCTTTGAATTCAGCAGGACTACATGAGCATTTGTTTTTCTGGATGCGTAAATTATTTTCCGTTCATGTGGTTTCGGTCCGGATTTCTAGGAGTTTCAGAATGACACAGCTGCTTAATTTGGTGTTGATATGAATACTGTTTTGTAAATCTTGGTTTTTGAGTTTTAGTCTGGTTTTGTTTTGTTTTAGTGTGTTTATTATTATTTGCCCAGAGAATGAATGCACAATTTATAGTTTTAACATAATGACCCTCATTCAGAAATGTAGTGCTTGGAAATGTAGGTTCAGTATCATTTGCAGTTACACAACAACAAAACCATTTGAAATGTTTTTTTTTCTTACAAAACTTGTACATATGTAAGTTTCATGAACTCGCAGCTTGCATCTGTCAATATGACCTGATTTCTGTTTCCTGCGCTTTTTTTTCTTTCTTTACTCCTGTCTTCAGCTCTTCTGTTTAGTATTGTGGCTGGTTTTTTCCACAGCTCATGTTTTTTTTTTTTTTTTTAAGAAAACAACAGCAAAACATAACGAAATGAAACCTCAAGCTATAAGCATCATCTCAACAGATGCTTCATGCGACCATTATTCTCATCTGATAAATGTCACATTAATAAAGAGGGTGAGATGTTCTTAAAACAAAATCTTTTGCTTGAGTGTGTTTTCTTTAGGACCATACTATCTCATTTGCATTTTTCTATATGAACTTCAATGGAATATGTATGAATCCAGGGATATTATAGTTATTTAATACCATTTTAAAAAAATACAATTTATTTTAAGGTGTCAGTCTTACACTGTAATTATTTAAGTACTGAGTAATGTTTATTAACTACATGTATTTATTATAGAGCTAGGGTAGGATTTGGTTACTTGCAATTATCTATAAGTTACTGTTTTTACTATAGTAACTACATGTAACAAGGGCAATGTATAATATAGTGTTGCCAAAAAAAAAATGTTACTTAACAAAATATTTTGAAACTGAAACTTAATATTCTGCTCGTTTCCAAGGCAACATTTCATTTAGTTTACTGATAATATTGAAAACTTAAAAAAATGAAATATGGCCATGATGTGTTTTCCTACATGATTGTTTAAGAAATGTAAAAATACACACCATCAAAAAGAATTGTTCCCAAGCATAACATGCTAGAAACGTAATAATTACTGGAATAATGATCCAATCATAGACTCTTAAGCATTTGCCTATTTAAATCCAAACAGCGTTTTTTTTATGCTGAATATCTCCAGGAAGTCATTAACACCTATTAGCATTAACATTTGTTAGCATTCCCATTCATCTCAATGGCAGACGCTCAAAAATGTTGTATAAAGAGCCTGTAGTGTGCTGAGGTAAGTGGGTAACATAAGGAGATCTCATATTATTTGTTGTATTTGATTCACCCTGAATACTCCTTAATATATTGTGTAGTTGATATGTGAACACAATATTTTAGAAGATCCATAGCTTCACACAGATGTTTTTGGATAAAGACAAAAAAGTTGAAGGAGTGTTTTACAGGCCTTGTGTACTTTTTGTTCTGAGTCCTGTGGTGACTGATACTAAATTATGAGGAAGTATCCATGAGCAGGGAAGCGAATGAATGCTTTCATTATTTAGACTGATTCTCAAACTCTCTCCTGGAACAGCACTGCGTCTACACTGGAAGCAGAACACTGAGATGAGGACATTCAGACTCACACTTGTTCTAGTGGGCTTTGCGTTTTGTTGTGTCTCATCTAAAGGTGAGTTTAAATCTCTGAAACTACTGATATATGAAGACAGGAATGACTTGTAGGGCCAGTGTCACCATTTTACGGTAACTACCCTTACAAAAAAGAAGTTTATTCATGTGTGCTATTTGTAGGCCTATACTTCTTTTAAACTAAATAAAGTAAAGTACTAAGTAAAGTACTTCTCAGAAATATACTTAAAATTGCATTTGAGTATACAGAAAAGACTAAGTATTGCTCTACTTCCTCAATCTTTTGATCTAGATATACTTAAGTGTACTTGTAGTAGTTGTGTGTAATCTTTCCATTGAGTTGCCTTTTAAATACTTTTTTCCACATAGTTCTACATGTCTTATAAATGTATATTGTTTAAAAGTATTTTTTTTTCTAAAGAAAATAGATATTCGAATATAGATTTGAATATCAGTGTTTTCACTGTTATACAGTATGGGGTGCCTTTACACATCTTCTAAAAGAGTAATATGCCTCGAGACCTACGGTACAGTTCAGTATGGTACGCAATCTTTGTCGTTTCCATTTTCAAAAGTCATGAATGGTACCTCTGGGCCCTGTTAAAATAATATATAAATAAATAGCAAACTATAAGTATGATATGTTCACTTAAAGAAGACATACAAGTATAATTGCAGTATAAAACTAACTTTACCAATAGTTTACTGATACTTAAGTGTACTCTCTTAAAGGGGACATAACACAGTTTCTGCCAATCTCATGTTAATCTTGAGTAGCCTACCTATAAAGAGGTATTGCATTCTTCATATCTCCAAAGAGTCTTTAAATCAGATTTATAAAACACAGATCCAGCTTTACCGCTTCTTCCCGAAAACAGTGGCGCTCCTGGAGGCGTGCCGTGGGCGGAGCTAAAGAGTCACGAGCAAACAAATGGAGTTTATACTTATGGTGGTCAGCTAAACAAATGTATTTAAACACACACAATACATCCTTGCATTATCCCTGGATAACTTCTGATTCACTATACATTCGTGTTGTTTACGATTGCCAACAAAATATTTAAATATATTTGATGCAGTGCACATAAGGAATATCACCCTTTATGAATCAGAATACTTGTCATGCGTCCAACTCGTTGTTTATTTATTTATTTATTTTACTTTGGCCATGTTTAGCATTAGAATTAACAGTGTAAATAAGTCAAAATGTGTGAAATAGCATTAATAATAAGCTTATACTGTTAATAATAATACGTTTTCTACTGTTACACCTACATTTATATGGAAGCGTATTGCATTCACTTTGAGAAAAAAAATTCTACTCTGTTTTTTCTGAATTAACGAGTTAATTATCGCAGAATTATGAGAGAATTTTTTCTTGAAAAACATTTTTATGTTTTATGTTTATTCATTTTTATGAATTAATGAGTTACTCATAATTTTGAGATTATTAAGTCATTAATTCAGAAAAACAGAGTAAAAACTTTTTTTCCAATCTCGTAATTCTGAGATAATTAACCCGTTAATTCAGAAAAACAGAGTAGATTTTGTCTCTCAAGTAAATGCAATACGCTTCCGTACACTTAAACATATACACTGTAAAAAAATATTTTCATGATTTGCAATCACAACATTTTTTTTTTGTCAAATCAACTTAAATAATTTATGTAGTTCAGATAACATAATATTTTGAGTTTCTGATGCTTAAATCAATCTCCTTCATTGTATTAACTCAATTTTTTCATTTCAATGAACTTAAAATTTTTAAGGCAACCAGGTTACTTCAATTTTTAAGTTAAACCAACAATATTTTTATTACAGTGTACTTACATACTAAAAAGTGGGCAAATTTAGTATCAATCAGTGTTGAAAGTTGACTTGTACATGGATCTTATATTACTATAAAGTATAGCCTACTTAAAATATATTTGAACTTTACTCGAGTATATACTTTATAAAATGAACTTGTAGTATTTAATCACATGCTCAGAACCATTTTAGCTTCTTCCGGTTTGGAACAAATTGCAGAAAAATAAAATAAATGACCTCATTGTTGAATATGCACAGATTTCTGGATGTATTGTGTATTGTACATGTCTTAATTGGCAAATACTAACTTTTATTCAAATATCTTTCTGTTCCCTTCAGATGTTTATGTGTTCCAGAACATTGTTGAATGCGAGTATAGCAAAGTGGATTTGTCTGATATGGTCTACATAATAAAGTTGGTCTTCAACCAGAAGCTTTTGTGCAGTTATGACTCAAGGCTGGGGAAATATGTTGGTTATGATGAATATGGAATCAAGAACGCTGATCATTACAACAGTCAGGGCTGGAAGATGAAACAGCGGAAGGAGGAGTTGGAGACACTGTGCAGAGCCAACGCAAGACTCTATGTCAACAGCACCAGGAGAAAGGGTAAGCAATATATTCATTTAAGCAAAAGGAAATGAAAATTAAAATCAACGAGTTGAAATAGTCAGAAGTGGTTCAATAGGTTTTATTTAGTGGAATCCTTTTGTTGTCTTTGCAACAGTGCCGCCCGTTGTTACCATACGTCCCACTAAGAAGGCTCATTACGGTCAGCTGTCCACCCTGGTGTGCCATGCATACAATTTTTACCCACAGGCCATCAATATTACCTGGCTATTGGACGGATCGGAGGTCACTGGCGACGTGATCTCCACTGAATTCATGGATAATGGTGACTGGAGGTACCAGATGCATTCACACCTGGATCTGGTGCTGCACAGAGGAGTCAGTGTGAGCTGCCGAGTGGAGCACAGCGGCCTGGAGAAACCTCTCGTCGTTCAGTGGGGTGAGTTATGATCGTGAGCTACTGTATATCAATCATTGTTTAGATGACTGGTGGAATTTACCAGTGGTAGTTGGTGCTGATCACTTGATCCATGAACAAAAGAACAGCACTGCCACAATCTTCAACTTCTCATTTCTGATTCATGCCGAAGAACTGACCGGGGTAATTACGTCAACTAAAGCTATATACCGGTACATAATATTTAGTTTTTATTGAAATAAAGCACTTGGAATAGTTACTTAAAGGGATAGTTCACTTTGAAATTAATTTTTTTTTAGTAGTTTCAATTTTATTTTTAGGTCAAACCGATCAGTCATATAATGGAGGTCTATGGTCACCACCTCAAAGAGCATGCACAGAGAAGTCCAAATTAAACATGATTTAATGACTCGTAAATGTAAGTACACATTGATGGCCTAAGACACGAAACGAGCGGTTTGTGTGAGAAAATGAACAGTATATATATCGTTTTTACATCTTGTAACCACAGCCACAAAGCGCCCGCACACTCAGATCACTGTGGTTACAAGAGGTAAAATCGATATAAATACTGTTCGTTTTCTCACACAAACCGCTCGTTTCGTGTCTTAGGCCATCAATGTGTACTTACATTTACGAGTCATTAAATCATGTTTAATTTGGACTTCTCTGTGCAAGCTCTTTGAGGTGGTGACCATAGACCTCCATTATAGACAAGAACTCCATTATAGTTTGACCGAAAAATATCAAAATTGAAACTACTGCGGAAACAAAGACACCTACATCTTGAATGCCCTTGAGGTAAGCTAAAACATATCAAAAATGTATTTCAAAGTGAACTGTCCCTTTAAAAATGAAAATTATGTCATCATTTACTCACCTTCGATTTTTTCTAGACCTGTATGAATATCTTTCTTCTGCTGAACACAAAAGAAGATATTTTGAAGAATGTCGGGAACCAAACAGTTGATGGACCCCATTGACTCCCATAGTAGGAAAAAAAAAATACTATGGAAGTCCATCAACTGTTTGGTTCCCGACATTTTTCAAAATATCTACCTTTGTTTTCAATAGAAGAAAGAAATGAATAAATCAATAACTTAAATTAAAACTACACTCCGACACTTCCACTCTTTTTCTCACTAAAGCAAATGTTACTGCATGATGTTTGTGTTGATGTTGCACTGATGTCATGTTGGAATGACTGTAGTAATTTCCCAATAGTAACATCCACAATGCACTTGCATTTCAACGTAATGATGTTCAGATGACTTTCATGCACTGTTGGCTTATTGATTTGCATGTAATCTCTTACAATAGGTTATTTGTCTCTGTCACATGCTGTTCATTCTCTTTCTCTGGTCTTTTCTCATGCTCAGACTCGACCTCCCTCGATACCAGAATTGCTAAATTAGCTGTTGGTTGCTTTAGTTTCCTGCTCGGCCTTATTGTGGCCTTTTCTGCTGCATACATCTATTACAAACGCAGGCACAGAGGTAAAAGTCTACCACTACTCATCATAACATAATGGAGTGATAATCCAGGATAGATCTAAAGAAACGATGTAAACACTTTTCTTGTTTTCCCCAGGTTTCTCTTCCCTTCCCCTCAGTTGAGCGCCTTTTTCATTGAAATTAGTAAGGATTGAACCAGTGATGAAAATAAACTCTGCTTTTATGTGCATGTGTAAATGTTTAATACCCTGTTGTAAATTATTGCTCATTTTAATAAATATATATTTTTACTTATCTATGCCTGATTGCCTCTCATTCATTTGCACATCAAATACTTAGCAAAGCATAGCAACAAAAAACATCCTCAAAACTGCTACAGTGTATCAGATAAGTTCATAAAATTTATCAAACATGCAAATGTGTAGGGATTCAGTTTTATTTTTAATGATCTGGTGTTGAATGATATAATTTAGATTAGAAAAGCTGCAGAAAGAAAACACTGACTGCATTTACTCTAACAGACACAAGGGAGCGTCGTTAATTGTTCTCTTTATTTCCCCAGACGCACAGCGGAGGTTTGGGTTGCAGAGCAGGTGCAGTGTGCAGCTTATTCACTCATTATCACTCCTAAAGTATCTCATCTAACATACATATTCAATTAACAAAAAAATAAAGCGATTTGTAGTTTACGCTTTTTATAAAATGAGATGTATAGAAATTATAAAATAAATAAATATTTAAAATATCGGCCATAGCTGTACATATTGTGTAATTTCTTTTTTGTTTATTTTGTAATTTTTTATTACATTTTTGTTATTTGTATTCACTAATTTTTTATTATCAGTTTCTTTTTGTTGTCATTCTGTCTGTGCACTGTAAGCTTCTGTCATCAAGACAGATTCAGTTTGTGTGTGTGTACTTTACAAATAAAGCTCATTCTGATTCTGATATAGGCTATAACGATGTTTAAGATTTGTTGATGGGTCCCTTGGAATTGTTTCGAAGCGAGTAGTTGACCACTGCTCTAGAATTATATGTATTTTGAACATTAGCGCAGCAGGTCTATTTTTTTCTTCGGTTGTACACTTCTGCTCTCTTGTGGTCAGTTACGGTATTGAGCGTCTGTAAATTATTCCGGTGTGGTTCCAGTTTCTCTAGCGTTCCTAATTGTTAACGCATTCTCCATTTGTTTAAGACACAGAAATGGTTTTACCGACATAGATATGAGCGAACTCATTTTATTATATTAATTAATCCTTAAAGAAGAACATCTGTTCTGAACAAATTGCGTCGTGCGTCGTCCCACTCATGAATGTGCATAGACATATACACTAGACCTCACCTTGGCTACGGCAGTTCATTGGAACCAATGCGTCAATTGAGCCGCCATCTTGAAACAGGGGAGCCCCTCCACTTTAATGCATCAGTGTCAATGTAGTAGACACAGGTCTAACGGAAATAAAATCACCATAAATCATCATGAATGCGATTTTTCTTGTTTTTTTGGTTTGTTCCAACGGTCAGACATGTATTTATCATTGATTCCAAAAAGAAAAAAATGTTTTGTTTTTTTTTTAAACATTTTTCTTAGTTCAGATTTCATCCGTGAACATCATACGCTGCACAAAAGTCCGCCACCATCAATGAATTCGAAGTAAAGGCAGAGATAGCAGCCTTACCTAGCTACTTCCTATGACAAAACCACTGTTCCAAGATGGCGGCGGTTTTGACGCATGCTTAGAACCCCAAGGTGAGGTCTAGTGTATATGTCTATGATGAATGTGAAGCAGGGAAAAAATATCGGACTCCCACTCCCTCTAGTGGACATAATTAGGTATTTCAACGCACAGCTGACTGTCATGGCGGCGTCCTCTCGTCTCATATCCAGGTTGACATTAGTGACAGGTGAGATTTAAAAACATTTTATGTCTTAATGGCCATATATATATTTGTATAATTTAAGTCATAATACAATTTTATTGTTGAACACGATTGTTATACAAGTAATACAGCTAAAATTACCGTTCACTTTCAGTGCTCGTAAAACACCTTTGTTTTGACAATGTTTATAGCTATTTGAACTAAAGATTGAGTCTGTACAATGCAACACAGTTTCAGTATTTGTATATGGAATACATAACACATAATAAGTAAATATTTGTGCAATATTTGTGCAATATTTGGGGCATCATGTGTAATTTTGTTTCTACTAAAGTTTATTGGATGGTATACGTTTATGTATGTATCATTTATTGATTAATAAAGCCGTCATGGTGATTTTGTTTCAGGGGGTGGCAGTGGCATCGGCAGGGCAGTGTGTCAGAGATTTGCCACTGAAGGGGCATCTGTAATAGTGGCTGACCGCAATGAAGAATCAGCCAATCAGACCTTGGAACTCCTGTCACGTGACCACAAAGGTCAGGATCACATGGCTCTTGGGGTGGACGTGTCATCAAAGGACAGTGTGGAGAACCTAGTGACAAGTATTCAGGTATGACAGACACGTGTCTGCTGTTTATGGTCTCCTCTGCAGCTCTGAGGGGTTGAATAATAAACCAGAATGTTCTCTTACAGTGCCGCTACTTCCAGCCGGCCTCTGTGTGTGTGAATGCAGCCGGGATCACTCAAGATGAGTTCCTTCTCAACATGAAAGAGGATGACTTTGACAAAGTCATTGAGGTCAATCTCAAGGTGCCACAATCTAGAGTCTAATCTGTAATGAAACACAGTCAGGAAAAACAAGATGTTTTTAATTTAAGTTGAAAAAAGGATGATTCGAAATCTTTTGTATCAACTATTTTTACTATAACTTTTGACCAATTTAATGCTTGCTGAATAAAAGTGATAATTCCTTTAAAAAATCAATTCTTACTGACCTCAATCTTTTAAATGGTACTGTTTTTTCCCCATTTTAGTTGTCCCATTCTCCTAAACTTTTGAATGCGATCTGTAAGTGTGCAAGTCTGTATCTGATCTTCTGTACTGATGATGTGTTTCAGGGAACATTTCTTCTGACTCAGGCTGTCTCAAAGGCTTTAGTTTCTGCTGGGTCTGCGAAGGGCTCCATCATCACTGTGGGCAGTATAGTGGGCAAGGTCAAGCATTAGTACACTATACTCACCGTTTTAACATTTTTACACCAAGGATGCTTAATTAAGTCATGAACGTTGTCTTAATAGTCTCTTTCTTTGTGTGTAGGTTGGGAATGTTGGCCAGGTGAACTACTCCGCTTCTAAAGCTGGAGTTGAGGGACTCACTCGAACCGCAGCCAAAGAGCTCAGCAAGTATGTGCACATTTTACTGTGACTAGAACATATTTACAGACCTGCACATTGTAACTATATGATGTTTGGGGTTTGTGGGGCTGCTTATGTGTTAGTAATAAGTGGGGCTGTCAAACGATTAATCGCGATTAATCGCGATTAATCGCATCCAAAATAAAAGTTTGTGTTTGCGTAATATGTGGGTGCACTGTGTATAATAATTATATATATATGTATATGAATACACACACATGCTTGTATTTATTTAAGAAATATTTCAGGTATATACTGTACATAGATTTATATATAATTTATATTACATATATAAGTATAAATATTTTATATATAAGTAATATTTTTTTCTTAAATATATACAAGCATGTTTGTATATTTATATATATAAAATAATTATACACAGTTAGGGTTAGCTTAAATATATACAAGCATGTGTGTGTATCGCGATTAATCGTTTGACAGCCCTAGTAATAAGCTGTAAATATCACATTTTTAAACAGTTTTTATGAAAAGAGTTCATGTCTTTATTCGCTATAATTGTAATAATTTAATATAAACAATGTTTTGTGGCTTTTAGATTTGGTATTCGCTGCAACTGTGTCCTGCCAGGGTTCATCACTACACCCATGACAGATAAAGTACCAGAGAAAGTCATCCATAAAGTAAGGAACAATATTTGTGTGTTCAGATTATTAAAATCTTGTCATTTAGAGTTATTTCTTAGATGTGACGTCACATGATCGTTTTAATGATTTAAACCATCTTTGAACTTTATTGAAGGATCTTAACCTTTTTATTATATTAATGAATTGCATTGCCAAGATATCTCGCCACATTAAAGCCACTTTTACTGCAATATTTTGGTTATTTTGTGCAGTTCACATCCATCATCCCAATGGGAAGGATGGGAGAACCTGCTGGTAAGTATTTTTTTTATTATACAAAAGCAGTTTCATGATTGGACTTGTGAGTATCACACCAAATGCGTTCTAATAATTAGGTTGGATGCTCACTTTGTATATAAAATACATAATTAGATATCTTTCACTTTTGCTCGTCTCTGCAGAAGTCGCTGACGCTTGTGCCTTTCTGGCTTCTGATGACAGTCGATATATTACTGGAGTCAGCATTGAAGTTGCTGGTAAGAAGCTTGATCTGTTGCTGAACAGCATCTTCAGCAGAAAAACTGTGTGATTTGATTTAGAAATATGCTTTTTTCTCTCTTTAATCAATACAGGTGGACTCTTCATTGGCTGAAAACAATGTTAAAAGTCTCTAAATTGTTCACCAACACAGTGCCTTTTTCTATGAGAAACTGTCCTTGTATAAATTTAATGTAATTGCTGTAAAAATATTGTGTAGAATGCAACAAATGAAAATTCTATATTTATACAATTAAAATATAAGTGAGAAAAATCAATACTGAACCCATTTTTAAAAAATAATTAAGCTGACACAGGAGGAAATGTGTTGATGTGTGGTTTAATGGGAATGTTTGGACCAAAACAACATCAAGTCAAAGGATTAAAACAGTTAACAGATTAAAACCCAGACTAATAGAGCGCAAAACGTTTTTTATAGGTGTTAAATAGAGTGGGCAAATTAATTATAGTTTCAACAAGACATGAGAAGATTTGGTGAAAATGGTAGTTTGGCTCAAAAAAAATGAGGCAGATCAAATATTAGCAAAAGCACCATGTGATCATGACAAAAGGGAAACAAATGGGGAAAATAACAACAAAGGAGTCCAACAGCTCTTTAAATAGATTATATATTACACAAACAGATTTTGAAGTACTTACATAAAACAAGTTTTAGCACCATATTTGTTTTAAAGATGACAAAATCAATCCTAGTATTGTCCTCGTGAGAAAACCACACAAACAACTTTTAATTCACAAATCATTTTTATAGCTTTTCATTCCCCTCTCCATGTTTTAAAAAAGAAACAAAAAATATACATAAAAAAAAAACCACCATCAGTTTCATTCCCTCTTCCTGTCCCTTCTCCACTGCTGTCCGAGCCTCGAGACATTTCCGTCTTTTATTATCATGATCTGCACTAAGCCTCATGCATTGAAACAATGCAATATCATCACCAATAACTGATCACAAGCAAGTATATATCATACAAAGAAGGCAGATTTGCTTTCTGGGGTTTAATTTACATATTTAATAGATTGTTGAAAAAGAAACTACAGGAAATAATTACAGATGAATACCACATTATTTTTGGACTGCAAGTGTTGGTCATTTTCTTGTGAGCACCTGTTTGTTTCACAAAATAAATACAATAAAATATTTCTGTACAAATGGTTCTACTATGGAACACTGTTCACACGAAAGGTCAAAGGTGACAAACGGATCAATACTGAATGCCGTGGGTCAACCATGTACAGATGAAATGCAAATTTTTAAAGGCCCCTGTAGTAAAAATACAACCAGCTTAAGTTCTTTCACCATAAATACTGGACTGGTAAGTTGGCAGCATGTCTATTTATAAAAAAAAAAAAAAAGTTTTTTTCTTTATAATAAATGTACAACATCAGATTCAATTCAATTTTACATTGTAAATGGCTTTGATTTCATTGCATAAATATATATGACCCAGTTACAATGCTGGTGTGATTGTATTACAGCTCAGAAATGATTCTAATTTCACCTTCTAATGGATTTTTCAGCTTCCATTCCTCAGTTTACATTTCACCTGCATTCTATTCTATAAGGAAAGGGAGGAAGCGAGAAACGATCAGGCATGGAGGTAGGAAGAGTGGAACGTCTCGGAAGAGAAACAGTGGGGAGGGGAGCTGTAGGAGAGAGGGGGCCGAAACGGGACGGCCTTCAGTGTCTGCCCCAACACACTTCTGTTTCTTGACAGAATATTTGTCAATATCTCTCCTGCGAGAATGGCTCTCTTCTCCTCTTGTTGTCCATCCGTTGCTGGGAGTGTTTTTCCCTGGGCTTGTACTTTGTGTGCAACTTTGTTTCACAACAATGTGTATGTGTGTGTGTGTATGAATCTATGTGTCCCACTTCTTACATGTAATTTGAAATGTCTTTTTTTAGTGTTGGCATTATGTCTAGGTTTTAAGTGCATGGCTGAGTGAGTACGTTTGTGTGTGAATGTATCGGCGATTGTATTCCCCTTGCCCTCAGCATGTGTGTGTTTATCCCAGGAAACAGACAGGTCCCACTTCAAAACCAAATTTCTGATTGTCCTCCCCAAAGTCTGAGATCCTGATGTCCAGCAGAGGAAGCTGCTCCACCTGAGGTGTGTTCACCTCCAGCACTGTCCTGTCCAAACCTTTACGATACTGCAGGGGGGAGAAGAGAAAGAAGTGTTTAAGAGGAGGGATGGAATACAGTGTAATGAGTAGATACAATTACATAAGAACAACTACTCAGCAAAGAGATATTTTTAATAATATTGTATTATGGTTGCAGTTGAAACATTCTAAAAACACACCTAAAATAAAATAAATTATCTAATCAAGATATGAAGTGAGGATATTTATAATGGCACAAATGCTATGTGGGATCTCAATATCTCAGCTCTGGAAGGGTCTAGAGCCTCCATTTTTACACTCAGGTCTAAGTCTCATGGCCCTCTATCAGAATCCAGAGTTTCAAGAAGATTGGAGAAACTTATTTTTTCGCCCGAAAACGAAAAAAACGAAAGGGGTAACACTGTCGTTTTTTTTTTTCGGGTCGAAATTTTGAATTTCGATATCTCAGCTCTGGAAGGGTCTAGAGCCTCCATTTTTGCACTCAGGTCAAAGTCTCGTGGCCCTCTATCAGAATCCAGAGTTTTGAGAAGATTGGAGAAACTTAATTTTTCGCCCGAAAAGGAAAAAAACGAAAGGGGTAACACTGTCGTTTTTTTTTTTCGGGTCGAAATTTTTAATTTCGATATCTCAGCTCTTGAAGGGTCTAGAGCCTCCATTTTTGCACTCAGGTCAAAGTCTCGTGGCCCTCTATCAGAATCCAGAGTTTTGAGAAGATTGGAGAAACTTAATTTTTCGCCCGAAAAGGAAAAAAACGAAAGGGGTAACACTGTCGTTTTTTTTTTCGGGTCGAAATTTTGAATTTCGATATCTCAGCTCTGGAAGGGTCTAGAGCCTCCATTTTTGCACTCAGGTCAAAGTCTCGTGGCCCTCTATCAGAATCCAGAGTTTCAAGAAGATTGGAGAAAGTTAATTTTTCGCCCGAAAACGGAAAAAAACGAAAGGGGTAACACTGTCGTTTTTTTTTCGGGTCGAAATTTTGAATTTCGATATGTCAGCTCTGGAGGGGTTTAGAGCCTCCATTTTTGCACTCAGGTCAAAGTCTCATGGCCCTCTATCAGAATCCAGAGTTTTGAGAAGATTGGAGAAACTTAATTTTTCGCCCGAAAACGAAAAAAACGAAAGGGGTAACACTGTCAGTTTTTTTTCGGGTCGAAATTTTGAATTTCGATATCTCAGCTCTGGAAGGGTCTAGAGCCTCCATTTTTGCACTCAGGTCAAAGTCTCGTGGCCCTCTATCAGAATCCAGAGTTTTGAGAAGATTGGAGAAACTTAATTTTTCGCCCAAAAATGAAAAAAAACGAAAGGGGTAACACTGTCGTTTTTTTTTTCGGTCGAAATTTTGAATTTCGATATCTCAGCTCTGGAAGGGTCTAAAGCCTCCATTTTTGCACTCAGGTCAAAGTCTCACAGCCCTCTATCATAATCCAGAGTTTTGAAAAGATTGGAGAAACTTAATTTTTCGCCAAAAAATGAAAAAAAACAAAAGGGGTAACACTGTCGTTTTTTTTTTCCGGTCGAAATTTTGAATTTCGATATCTCAGCTCTGGAAGGGTCTAGAGCCTCCATTTTTGCACTCAGGTCAAAGTCTCACAGCCCTCTATCATAATCCAGAGTTTTGAGAAGATTGGAGAAACTTAATTTTTCGCCCAAAAATGAAAAAAAAAACGAAAGGGGTAACACTGTCGTTTTTTTTTCGGGTCGAAATTTTGAATTTCGATATCTCAGCTCTGGAAGGGTCTAGAGCCTCCATTTTTGCACTCAGGTCAAAGTCTCGTGGCCCTCTATCAGAATCCAGAGTTTCAAGAAGATTGGAGAAACTTAATTTTTCGCCCGAAAACGGAAAAAAACGAAAGGGGTAACACTGTCGTTTTTTTTTCGGGTCGAAATTTTGAATTTCGATATCTCAGCTCTGGAAGGGTCTAGAGCCTCCATTTTTGCACTCAGGTCAAAGTCTCATGGCCCTCTATCAGAATCCAGAGTTTTGAGAAGATTGGAGAAACTTAATTTTTCGCCCAAAACGAAAAAAACGAAAGGGGTAACACTGTCGTTTTTTTTCGGGTCGAAATTTTGAATTTCGATATCTCAGCTCTGGAAGGGTCTAGAGCCTCCATTTTTGCACTCAGGTCAAAGTCTCGTGGCCCTCTATCAGAATCCAGAGTTTTGAGAAGATTGGAGAAACTTAATTTTTCGCCCAAAAATGAAAAAAAACGAAAGGGGTAACACTGTCGTTTTTTTTTCGGGTCGAAATTTTGAATTTCGATATCTCAGCTCTGGAAGGGTCTAGAGCCTCCATTTTTGCACTCAGGTCAAAGTCTCACAGCCCTCTATCATAATCCAGAGTTTTGAGAAGATTGGAGAAACTTAATTTTTCGCCAAAAAATGAAAAAAAACGAAAGGGGTAACACTGTCGTTTTTTTTTTCGGGTCGAAATTTTGAATTTCGATATCTCAGCTCTGGAAGGGTCTAGAGCCTCCATTTTTGCACTCAGGTCAAAGTCTCACAGCCCTCTATCATAATCCAGAGTTTTGAGAAGATTGGAGAAACTTAATTTTTCGCCCAAAAATGAAAAAAAAACGAAAGGGGTAACACTGTCGTTTTTTTTTCGGGGTCGAAATTTTGAATTTCGATATCTCAGCTCTGGAAGGGTCTAGAGCCTCCATTTTTGCACTCAGGTCAAAGTCTCACAGCCCTCTATCATAATCCAGAGTTTTGAGAAGATTGGAGAAACTTAATTTTTCGCCCAAAAATGAAAAAAAACGAAAGGGGTAACACTGTCGTTTTTTTTTCGGGTCGAAATTTTGAATTTCGATATCTCAGCTCTGGAAGGGTCTAGAGCCTCCATTTTTGCACTCAGGTCAAAGTCTCACAGCCCTCTATCATAATCCAGAGTTTTGAGAAGATTGGAGAAACTTAATTTTTCGCCCAAAAATAAAAAAAAAACGAAAGGGGTAACACTGTCGTTTTTTTTTTCGGGTCGAAATTTTGAATTTCGATATCTCAGCTCTGGAAGGGTCTAGAGCCTCCATTTTTGCACTCAGGTCAAAGTCTCACAGCCCTCTATCATAATCCAGAGTTTTGAGAAGATTGGAGAAACTTAATTTTTCGCCCAAAAAATGAAAAAAAACGAAAGGGGTAACACTGTCGTTTTTTTTTCGGGTCGAAATTTTGAATTTCGATATCTCAGCTCTGGAAGGGTCTAGAGCCTCCATTTTTGCACTCAGGTCAAAGTCTCACAGCCCTCTATCATAATCCAGAGTTTTGAGAAGATTGGAGAAACTTAATTTTTCGCCCAAAAATGAAAAAAAAAAAAGGGGTAACACTGTCGTTTTTTTTTCGGGTCGAAATTTTGAATTTCGATATCTCAGCTCTGGAAGGGTCTAGAGCCTCCATTTTTGCACTCAGGTCAAAGTCTCACAGCCCTCTATCATAATCCAGAGTTTTGAGAAGATTGGAGAAACTTAATTTTCGCCCAAAATGAAAAAAAAAAAAACGAAAGGGTAACACTGTCGTTTTTTTTTCGGGTCGAAATTTTGAATTTCGATATCTCAGCTCTGGAAGGGTCTAGAGCCTCCATTTTTGCACTCAGGTCAAAGTCTCACAGCCCTCTATCATAATCCAGAGTTTTGAGAAGATTGGAGAAACTTAATTTTTCGAAAAAAAAAACGAAAGGGGTAACACTGTCGTTTTTTTTCGGGTCGAAATTTTGAGTTTCGATATCTCAGCTCTGGAAGGGTCTAGAGCCTCCATTTTTGCACTCAGGTCAAAGTCTCACAGCCCTCTATCATAATCCAGAGTTTTGAGAAGATTGGAGAAACTTAATTTTCGCCCAAAAAAAAAAAACGTAAGGGGTAACACTGTCGTTTTTTTTTCGGGTCGAAATTTTGAATTTCGATATCTCAGCTCTGGAAGGGTCTAGAGCCTCCATTTTTGCACTCAGGTCAAAGTCTCACAGCCCTCTATCATAATCCAGAGTTTTGAGAAGATTGGAGAAACTTAATTTTTCGCCAAAATGAAAAAAAAACGAAAGGGGTAACACTGTCGTTTTTTTTTCGGGTCGAAATTTTGAATTTCGATATCTCAGCTCTGGAAGGGTCTAGAGCCTCCATTTTTGCACTCAGGTCAAAGTCTCACAGCCCTCTATCATAATCCAGAGTTTTGAGAAGATTGGAGAAACTTAATTTTTCGCCCAAAAATGAAAAAAACGAAAGTAACACTGTCGTTTTTTTTTCGGGTCGAAATTTTGAATTTCGATATCTCAGCTCTGGAAGGGTCTAGAGCCTCATTTTTGCACTCAGGTCAAAGTCTCACAGCCCTCTATCATAATCCAGAGTTTTGAGAAGATTGGAGAAACTTAATTTTTCGCCCAAAAATGAAAAAAAAAAACGAAAGGGTAACACTGTCTTTTTTTCGGGTCGAAATTTTGAATTTCGATATCTCAGCTCTGGAAGGGTCTAGAGCCTCCATTTTTGCACTCAGGTCAAAGTCTCACAGCCCTCTATCATAATCCAGAGTTTGAGAAGATTGGAGAAACTTAATTTTTCGCCAAAAATGAAAAAAAACGAAAGGGGTAACACTGTCGTTTTTTTTCGGGTCGAAATTTTGAATTCGATATCTCAGCTCTGGAAGGGTCTAGAGCCTCCATTTTTGCACTCAGGTCAAAGTCTCACAGCCCTCTATCATAATCCAGAGTTTTGAGAAGATTGGAGAAACTTAATTTTTCGCCCAAAATGAAAAAAAAACGAAAGGGGTAACACTGTCGTTTTTTTTTTCGGTCGAAATTTTGAATTTCGATATCTCAGCTCTGGAAGGGTCTAGAGCCTCCATTTTTGCACTCAGGTCAAAGTCTCACAGCCCTCTATCATAATCCAGAGTTTTGAGAAGATTGGAGAAACTTAATTTTCGCCAAAAATGAAAAAAACGAAAGGGGTAACACTGTCGTTTTTTTTTCGGGTCGAAATTTTGAATTTCGATATCTCAGCTCTGGAAGGGTCTAGAGCCTCCATTTTTGCACTCAGGTCAAAGTCTCA